AACAGAACATCACAATAGTAGTTCAATTGAAAGAAAAACAATATAAAATATTTTCGCAGTTACTTGACAATAGACGGAAATTCAAATTCTAGTTGCTACATCCCAGCCCCTTAGGTTTACTTTAAATATTGGGCAATTAGAATTCAAATAATGAATAACCTAAGAGTCCCTTAAGTTAGTCCACTCGTGTTCAAAGTTCACGCACATCTGGTGCACAAATTCAAATGAACCAGCTTTCAGCGACGATGGCAGTACAAATCATTCTTAATACAGACTCCTGGCGGCAAATTTAAATGCGATCGAAGTAACAAATGGTTAGTAGTAGTCAAAGATTGTGAATCAATAGGAGTGAATACCATTGTTGAGAGTCAATGGTCGACCATTGAGAATTCCCTCAACTTCTGCCAGCAACGTTGGCCGTGCGTCTCCAGAACCAATTGTTGCTTTTTAAAAAAAGGGCTCTTAAGATCTTTCTCACTGAACGAATCATGCGTTCCCAGACTCCTCCCATGTGTGATGCTTCAGGGAAATTAAACCTCCTCTTGATGTTCTTCTGATGTAGGAAAACTTCTATCTTCTAATGATTCCAGTTGTTAAGGGGCTTCAGGGATTTCTCTCTCTCTCTCCGCTACTTAACTTCATACCATTGTTACCTCTTACCATCTTTGGCGTCCCTCTTCTGCTGATGAATCTGCATAGTGCACGAATAAACGATTCTGTTTCGAGAGACTCGGTCACTTCAATGTGGATTGCTTGGATAGTCAAGCAAGAGAAAAGACACCATACCGCAGTGGGCCAAAGGAATCTCTGCCAACGGTAGAAAACGGGGGTTTATCTCGAATAAGCCTAATACCAGGTAAATCTAACATCAATTGTAGGCTCTTTGGAGCATTTTGTTTTTGGCATGTCAAACAGTTACTGAGTACTCTTCAAAGAGCAGCCCGTCCCTTTAAGATCCAGTACTTTTCTCTAAAACTGGTCTGGACATGTTCTTGACCTAGATGACCCACAGACTGATGAACATCCATAATGAGCAGCTTGGTAACATGGTGCTTTGAAGGTAACAGCAATTGATGTTTCGATTGGTAATCCGATGAAGAATTTTGAAGCCGACCACCAACTCTCAATATTCCTGCTCCATCAAGAAATGGTCTAAATTTTTACACTGAACCAAGTGAGCTCATAATCTTCAATTTACGCTTCTCTGATTCTTCTAGGCTCAAGTCTGGGAGGGCTTTAACCACTGGCGAGAAAGCTAAT